AGGATAGCATTATAGTACTCCTCTTGACGTAGAAAACGACAACAGATAGCTTCATGTCTAGTCACAGCTTTCAGTTTGAGTATTGGTATCTATTTATTATATGATCTAAGGGTATACATATCTTTATTTTAACTAATAAGGATTATCATAAAAAATTAAATTCGCAAAATCAAAGTTTATAATATAGGAGTAATTTTTTCGAACAGCTGGATTTGATTCCAGTAGATCAGATTCACCTATTCCTGGCTTTATGGGGGACGGAAGATCTGTCGAAATAATCTTCAATCAATTTCAGGCATTTTAAATGTAGCACAAAGTTGAAACTTTAAAATTGACCAAAGTGCGTGAAAATTAGTTGTTTCGTCAGGGTCGACCAAAAATTTTAAGGAAAAAACATGCAAATGTTGTCATGGTTAAGTTTGTTTTCAACGCATTCAAGAGCAGATTTCTCAAAGAGGAATGAACCTTTCCGAAGTTTTCTTCCACGGAATACTTTAAGGTAATAATTGATTTTCTTCTAAATTTTCAACCACCTCAAGTGAAATAATAGTTTTGAAATTAGAGATTACAACGAATAATAATTTTTTTAAATAAAACGGAATCTACATCCTTCAATAAACGTAAATACAAAATTTGAAAAAAAATCAGCCGAAGAATAAATGAGATATAAGCACTGAAACACCCGGTATAATATAACATATGTATGCCTGCACGTGTAATTTATTAATCCGTGTTGAATTTTTACCCTGTACATCTAGATTTTTGGAAAAAAATCAACATGGTATAACAACATTTTGCAATTTAATTTTGAATCTAGGAAATCGAATGTTTTAAAGTTATCGTGCGCATGGTAAATTTTTAATCAAAAAATGTACGAGTATATGTTTATCCTCTCCCAAAAAACTGATGATAAAATGTGCAAAATATGTTGCTTGTGCTTTATCATTGCATTCATTTTTTTAGAACTGTTTAAACAGGAACGGCTTCCCCATTTTCCCGTGGCGGAGTGTCATTGGTGTCACTGGTTCTTATTTTATAGAGCAAAAAACAACGCAAAAGAAAAATCACAAAATCAGATTTTATAATTTTTCAAAAAAGCTAGAAATTCTGTCGAAATAACCTTCGATCGATATTTTGTAATTTTGATAATACTTACAGTATTTTTTAGTTAAGATTTGACAACATGAACTAATACTAATGTTTTGATATATATTCATCTTGGAAATTCGGCAGGGCTGGATTGCATTACTACATTTTTGTTGTTAATTTCTTGGAGTGGTGTATGAAAACAACTCGTAGTTTTTTCCCCTAAAAGCCGGTGATTGTTCTGGCGGAATTGTTTAAATTGTAAAAATAGGGCTTCAAAGTAAATGCACCTCAAGCTCTTACAATAAATCATATGGGTGGTCGCATGTGCCAGCAATAATTTTCATTTCGGTTCGGTGTTGCGATGTAATGATAAAAGTATTGGAGATAACGCTCTCATAAATTCCAGAAAAATATCGTTACGTATGTATTGCGTTCGATAAAAGCTGTAAACGTATTGCTGAAAACCGTAGTACTTATGCTCAGTAGCATCGAAAAGGTAAAACTTATACAGGATGATTTTTTTAACCTGAAACTTTCAAATATCTCGAAAAATGAGCACTCTACAAAAAATGTTCAGATTCCAAATTTAATCATTCCATGGGGGAAATACTTGGATGCAAAAACTAGTTCCCTTCTTGGAAGCGGGGGGTAACTTTGAAATCTTAAATAGAAACTCCGAATTTTTATTACAGATTCGGATTCTACGGGTAAAAGTACGTAGGCTTTGTCTATAATATTTTTTATATACAGGACAGATGACACTGTAATAAACGAAATTCATTTTTTTTCGATTTCTTCTACTGAGAACCTATGCATACAATTCTGCAGTAAAAAATACTACGTTGTTCATTAAAAATGAGTCGCCACATTATTTAAGGCAACTTGAATGGTGAAATGTATCGAGACATTTTGGAAAATGAATTGCCAACATCACTTGAAAACTTAAGCTTAGAAGTGCGACAGAACATGTATGTGGTTTCAACATGCTGGTTGTCCAGCACACTATTCGATGGTAGCACGTGAAGTACGTGATCATAATTTCAATGGCCACTGGATCGGTCTGGAAAATTGGCACGTCAGATTACCAGATCTTAGTTCGGCAGATTTCTTTTTGTGAGGCGATCTCAAAGACAAAGTTTACAAACAAGAACCAACAACACGCGAGACCATGATTGAGCGAATCAGAAATGCTTGTGCCGAAATTCAAGCAGACACATGTCTCAGTGTACATTCAATATGCATTGAATTCGAAGGCTATCATTTTGAGCACTTACTTTAATTGAAAAATGATGAGGCGAGTAATGTAAAATAAGCACCCTGATAAGTAATAAGCGAAGAAACTCACATAAATGAAGCAGCCTGATAGGTGAGAGGCGCGGAACTCACCTAAATCAAGTACCCTGAGAGGCCAGGGGACTCGCCTAAATCAACTACCCTGATATCTGAAAGGCAAGCAGACTCACGTTAATCAAGCACTCCGAAGGGAACAGAAAACTACTTCGCCCACATCATTATTTCTGGGTTACGCTAAAAGTAGTTTATTCTCCAGCAATTTACATTTCTGCAAGTAACAATTTCCAAGTTACTTCTTTTTTTTTCTTTGACGACGAACTTGGAGTATTTACATAAAATGTCGTATTTTTTATTGCCAACGTATTGCACAATCGTATGCATAGGATCTCAGTAGGAGAAATCCGAAAAAATTAAATTTAGTCGATTCAGCGCCATCTATAACGAATCGAAAAAAAATGTTTCAGACAAATCATACTTACTTTTAGCCGTAAAGTCCGAATCTGCAATACAACATAGCAGTTGCCATTTAAGGATTCGAAGTAACCCTTGTCCCACCTAAAAGGAGAACGGGGGGAGGGACTAATTTTAGCACTAATGTACTTCCCCCGCGGCATGATTAGATTTTGATTCTGGACATTTTTCCGCAAAGTGCTTATTTTTAAATATATAATTGAAAGTTCGGGTAAAAAAAATCACCCTGATATTATGTGTAATGTGTGCTTTCATTTGAATTTAAGTTAATCTGTGTGACACCTGCAGCAGTAGCTCCGTTTTTCATTTGATTTGTAGTGCAGAAATCACTTGTAACTTTTTAACACACAAAAGTGAGAAAGTATAACTATTTTATAACTATTCACATCGGATATTTTTTGTGTTATTAAACAAAATCCGATGCAAAGTATCACGAAAAATATCAGCGATAACACAAACTGAATAAAAATGCTACTTATTAATTTTTGAAGATTCATTGCCTGTTCAAGTATATGTACATCTACATTCCGTCTCTTGAACGTATGACATGTGTAGTGAAAGGCAGTTTAATTACATGTTTCGATTTAAAAAAAGTCATCTTCAGGTGTGACAAACGAGGATGTAAAATGTAACATGGTTTGTGGTAATGTTAAAAAAATTACAAGAACATACGTTTATAATGATTGAAAACCCAAAATGCCCAATTTTGTGGAATTTTGGGTTTTTGATTGAACTGTTCTAAGTAATTCAAAATGTTTGGTAAAAATTTTGAAATGTATTTTCAGTTTGTTTATAATTATTGCGATGTTCTGAATCACATGAAGGCAACATCAAAAAAGACTGTTCAGAATCGACTTGTCCAATTTTTATTGACCTCACATCTACATTGACTTTTTTAGTTGTAAATATTGCAAGAAAAACTGCCGCCTCGATCTAAAATTAGACTTGATTTTCGTTGAAACCTATAGTCGCGGATTGCACGATTCCGCGTTTAATATTCCAATTTACCTACATTTACTTCAAGAAGAAACTGGTACATGACCTGATATGTTTCCTGTGTTATTTTAACTAAAGTTTAATGAAGGCAACACTAACACCATATAGAAATCAAATGCTTATTTTGGAACAGAAGGAGTATTTGGCATGAAAGTCGAAAAAATTATTTTTCTTCAAACGCCAGAAAAACGGACCTTTGTATATCACCATACACATAATAAAAGACGTATTTCAATACCAGGTCTATAAAAATACTTTTTCTGACGCCTTTGTTTCTGTTATCAGTAAATTGTACCTGGTAAATGCTGACAGTTATGTTAAAAGCAAGTAGGCCGTATGGTAGAACTGATTGCAAACAGTGTTCATGAAGTGTAGTTCCGGATTGTCGGGTTGTGGTGGTATGATGTAGTGGTACCAGAGATAGTGAGGTTATGTAAAAAGAAATGTGTTACATTTTAACTTGATTGAGACGTTTGAAGAAAAAAGAGTATGTTTTATCCAGAGTAAAAGTAGCTCCTCGTGCCTCGTCTGTATTACCGTCAAACTTATAGGACTCGACACGAAAAGTAACACTTTTGCTCCTAATAAAATAATATACCGTTGCCTACATAAAATTAAATGTTAAAAACAAACACCGATAGATTTGTTTAGTAAAGAAATCAGAAATACAACCCTTGATTTTAGCGTTAGTTTGTTTCTACAAATGATTAAATATGTGAATATAGGTAGATACATAATACTTAATAAATATTAAATAAATATACAGGGTGATTCAGCTTAAATGACTCACTTATCTATTTCTTATAGAATGTTTATTTTAAGTTTCTTTGTTAATTTTTTCAAAACTTTTAATTTGTTTAGCTACTTTTTTGCTATGAATATCTTATGTTTTTGTTAATTTTCTATGTATTCATAATAGCTATTAAGACAACTAGTGTTTTATAGACAGTTTAAAAATCAAGATCGTAGTTAAAATCCGAGCGACCGAAGGGAGCGAGGATTTTATAGAGCGAGATTTTTAAACTATAAAACACGTGTTGACTTCAAGATTTTTTCAAACACTAACAGTAATTCATCAACTCCTTTTTGATCAATTCATTACTACAAATTTTGACAAATCATTTGTGAAGCTTCATAGTACTATAGTAAGATTGCTGTGTATTGTAACTATGACAAGTAAACAAATTTTGAAAAAAACCATTTTCATCGTCAAAATGTGCGAAAACGTTCCGGAAGAAATTGCGAAAAAGGGAAAAGAATTGCGAAGCAATTTGTTACCCTTAAAGTCAAAAAATGCATACGAGAAAGTATATGTTTCGTTCCAAGACTGGAAAAATAAAAACCGCATCAAGGAAGTAACCGAAGATGTTATCTTGGCTTTTTTGGACATGAGAGTGAGTACATATTTAGTAAAATTCATAAAACTAAATTATTTAACAATTACAGTCGCAAAAGTTGTCACCTTGTTCTTTATGGCCAGAATATATATTGAAAAATTTGGTGCTGTTATTTCGTATATAAAAAAATTAAATGTTGGTGATCGTGGCAAAAAATCCAACGTTCTGACACGAGAAGAAATCAAAACTTTCTTGCAAAAAGCTGATGACGGAGAATATTTATTCGAGAAGGTAAGAATTACTTAATAAGAAGTATTTTTTATACATATGAAATCGTGTAGGTTGCTTTAATCTTTGGAATTGCCGGAGCTTGCAGAAAGGCCGAATTGTGTGCTATGAGATTTGACGATATACAAGATTGTGATAATGTTCTGAATATTGTTATACCTGACAGTAAAACCCACAAAGAAAGAAGATTCAGTGTAGTTAATGAAGGCTTTGGTGTTAATACCATTGATTTGTATCGACGTTATGTTGCTTTACGACCCACAAATTCACCATTGAGGTTTTTTTTAAACTATTATAAAGGTAAATGTACTCGCCAAAATGTAGGAATTAACACCTTTGGAAAAATCCCAGAAAAATTGCAACTTTCCTCAAACTGGAAAATCTAGCTAAATACACAGGTCATTCTTTTCGCCGCAGTTCGGCAACTCTCCTGGTTAACGCAGGTATTGTAATGATTACCTTTATTCTTCAAAGTAACTTTATATTCAATGCAGGCGGAGACATTACTTCGTTGAAGAGGCATGGCGGGTGGGAATCGACCAAGGTGGCAGAATCTTACATACAAGAATCTTTTGGAGAAAGAGTGAAAATTGCTCAAAAAGTTTTTGGAGATGAAAAGCTGGCACCGAATGAATTAGTTGACAATGAAATCGTTATGGACAAGCCCACGAACCTAAGTTACAGTGAAGCGTGTGGCAGTTCCAGTTCTAGCTCTAGTACTAGCAAGAACACCGCTCAAAATATTTATTTTAATAATTGTACTTTTAACTTTGGTGATAATTATTGTAAAGATTCGAAATAAAAAACTTGAAATATGCGAAATCGTATTTTAAGAAGCTATAAGATACGTTGCCATTGACAGCGTACTTTAAGAGAACAACGTTATTTTAAATCAAAGTTAACATACGAGTTCTTATGAACCATAGAAACAGTATAAGATGTTAGTGTTTGAAAATAGCTATTAAGATAACTAGGTGTTTTATAGGTGCTTTAAAGGACGCGGTCCCAGTTTAAATCCGAGCGACCGAAGGGAGCGAGGTTTTAATGGGACCGAGTCCTTTCAACTATAAAACACCGTGTTATCTTCAATATTTTTTCTAACACTGAAGCTTATTTGATCCGAAATCGTCTGTTATTAATATTTTATCGGGAGATTTTTAGTGAGGCAAAATGTTTCTTGAGGCTGCCGTGGGTAGTAGTCATGGTAATAGTATCAACAAATTTTGAAAAAAAAATTTGTTCGTTAAAATGTGTGAACGCCTTTCAATCGGAATATTAGAAAAAGCCAATGAATTACGCACCAAATTATTACCCGCAAAATCAAAAAACGCTTATGAGAAGGTGTACGTGGCTTTTAATCAGTGGACGTCAGAAAAAGGTGTAAAAGAAGTGACGGAAGACGTTATTCGGACTTTCCTTGATGCAAGCGTAAGTACCAGTTTTAGGCTGGGTTTATGCTCATCTATCATATATCACCTATACATTTAGCATTTTTAAATTTTTTAAACTGTAGTAGCGACGATCCCAATGTAGAGGTCAGCAACCAGATTAGATGTACAAAGCTGGATTCCGCCTTCGAAAGTAGCAGAGACAACCAACATCAACAACAAGAATTCACCCTTCAAGAGTAATGGAAATTTATATTTTAATAATTGTAGTTTTGTATTCAATAAATAAATGTTACGAAAAATGAAGCAGCGTACTTTAAATAGTATAAAGGACGTTACCATTGACGACGTACTTTATAAAGAACAGTGGGTTTATAGATACCTTTTTGGTCGAGCTTGAATGAATCTTAGAAGCGATTTAAAATGTCAGTGTTAGAAAATAGTATATTATTAGCCAAGGTTGCAGAGCCAAGCATTCTAGACCGAGCGCAAATTAGAACCCGAGACGCGCAGCGTCGAGGGCTCTAAGGGCGAGGTCTAGAAGTGGCTTTGCAACCGTGGTTAATATACTATTTTTTTCACTAGTAGAAACCATAAGACAATAAACTGAAAAATAAACGTTCAATTTTTTGACACAACATGATTTTGTTTTGATTTCTAATCAAACTTAATCTAAATCTTCAACACAAAGAAAACCGTTTATATTTGTCGCTGAGTTAATCATTTTATCTTGTACCATCTACCAACTACCATGCGTATACTCAAGTAATGTTTGTAGCACACATTTGTTCATTTTTTAAGAAATAATCACATCAAACATTGCGTACATAACCTCAATTTTTCTTTTTGAACCGGTGGTAGCAAAAGTTGAATTTGCTACCACTAAATGAGTCGACATTTGCATGCGTCCAGGCTGCTAGTGAAAAAAATCGGTCTAAAGAGTTTAGACAGTACTTCCCTCGCTGTCGGAAACTTGACGACTGCATGCCTATTGTGTTTTTTCTCATTACATTTTTGTAGTGGGAATTTAAAAAAAAATTGCGATGACGTCATCAACATTTTTGCAAGGACACGTATATCAGTTTGGGATAGATGTAGTGTAATACTAAGAATAAAATTATTATATTCTCAAATTTTCGGGAAAATGAATTGGGTCGTTTTGAATATTGATTTGTAATAATCAATAAAATAACGAAACAATTTACTCACGTATACGTATCCCAGGCAGCTGAAAATCGTGTATGTATAAACATTCTTAATTTAAGATGACAGGCGTAACAGCATACTTGAGAGTCAAACAGAGAAACTGTAAACAAAACGACCATCGGTTTTATTGCTTCGACTTCCGCTTATTATATAAAACATTGGGTTTTATTTTAATTCTTGACGGTGAAATTCACAATTGGTTGATTATAAACATGTCTATTTCACATTCGCGGAACCAAGTGAACGCATAAAACAAATGCAGGTCTGTAATGTTAAAGTCGATGTAAATAAGCATGCTACCCTTATGTTTCAACCGAGTTTTTCCTTTAACAAATTTTTTGTCTACCAAATTGGGTTGGTTGGGGTGTAATACTAATAATAAGTGTTGCCTTTAATTTAATCAATAAAATAAATTGACTTCATTAATTTTTTTGAACCACCTCTTAAGAAAATCTAAAAAATATGAATGGAATGATAAATCACAAGTACAAACTCATCATATTTTTTGCATTTTAGATAGGATTTATTCAGCAAAATTTAAGGGTGACGTCATCAATTTTTTTAGGAGGGATGAACAAATACATTTTGAACAAAAGTTTACCATGCTTATAATAACTTTAGAATATTCACAAGATTTCAAAGCATTCGGTTTTGTAATTCCTGATTAAATCGATAAAATAAATTCACGCCTTCATTAATTTTTTTGAGTCACCCTGCATATGCAAATCCAAAAATATGAATGGAATGATAAATCACAAGTACAGACTCATCATATTTTGTACATTTTAGATACGATTTATTCGGCAAATTTTCGAGCTGACGTCATCAAGTTTTTGGAGGGGATAAGCAAATATATTTTGACTAAACATTTATTATGCTCTTTATAACCTTAAAACATCTGCAAGATGTCAGAGCATTCCGTTTTGTAGTTCCTGATTAAATCAATAAAATATATTTGCGCATTCATTAATTTTTTTGAGTCACTCTGTATATGCAAATCCAAAAAATATGAATGGAGTGATAAATGACAAGTACAGGCTCATCATATTTTGTACATTTTAGATATGATTTATTCGGCAAACTTTCGAGCTGACGTCATCAAGTTTTTGGAGGGGATAAGCAAATATATTTTGACTAAACATTTATTATGCTCTTTATGACCTTAAAACATCTCCAAGATTTCAGAGCATTCGGTTTTGTAGTTCCTGATTAAATCAATAAAATATATTTACGCATTCATTAATTTTTTTGAGTCACCCTGTATATCCAAATCCAAAAAATATGAATGGAGTGATAGATCACAAGTACAGACTCATCATATTTTGTACATTTTAGATATGATTTATTCCACAAGCTTTTGAGCTGACGTCATCAAGTTTTTGGAGGGGATAAGCAAATATTTTTTGACTAAAGATTTATGATGCTCTTTATAGCCTTAAAACATCTGCAACATTTCAAAGCATTCTGGTTAGCAGATTAAAAATTAAATTTCAAAATGTTGTTTTATAATTTTGATTTTTTTTCCAAAAATCTGGACGTTTCGGGTGAAAAGTCGATTCAGAGTTGTAAACTACATGTGTAGGACTATGTTATTTTATACAATTGAAAACCCATTTACTATGTACAATTTTGAAGTGACGTCATCGCTTTAGTGGTGGGGATGATTAGACAAATTTTGGTTAGCGTTTTACCATCTACATGATATTCTTAATATAAGTACAAAATTTCACAACAATCGGTCGAGTACTTTCGGAGATTATCTGTCTAATAAAAATCCGGGACAACAGACGGACAGACGGACAGACGGACGGACAGACGGACAGACGGACAGACGGACGGACAGACGGACAGACGGACAGACGGACAGACGGACGGACAGACGGACAGACGGACAGACAGACGGAAATGGGAGACCTATTTCTTCGTCTTCTAGGGGTCATGAAAGATCGAGAAAACGTAAAAGTAGAGAGTCGGCCGACGGACTCGATTACAATACTTCCTTTGCTTACGCTCGGGAAGTAAAAATACATTTTAATACAGCAGGTCTATTTTTGTTTGTTATTTTCTATATAGTTTCAATAATGCACGCAGTACAGAAAACCATTGCCCAAAACAATAATTTTATTATTCCAATTTGCACAAAATGCAAAAATTTATGGCGCAACATAGTAAATTTAATGCACAAATGTTATTGCACATAGTATAAAATTTAATGCACAAAGTATTAAAAATAATGCACACTTAATTACGACCCAATTAAAAAATGCAAACATGAAAAATTAAGTGTATAGGAGAGAATTACAACAGACGGACAGAGAAGCAAATAACTATCGAAGGTTATTTAGACAGAACTCCCCTTGCCCCTGAAGTACAATATCATATTCAAATTCAAAATAATATCCAGCTTTATCGAAAAAGTACAACAATTATTTTTTATGAGAACCCCTGTAAGTGCAAATAAAGATACGTATGCAATGTTAAAGTAAATAATTGTGAAGATGGGTGCTACGCGTATGTTTAAATGAGTTTTTCGTTTATAAAATTTTGTGATAAAGCCATCAACATTGAACTTCACTTTGTATAGGTGCAGTGTAACAGTAATAATAACAGTATAATATTTCCAAATCTTTGAGAAAATGGAGTGAACCGTTTTTGATTTAATCAGTGAAATAAACTAACTCATTTATTATTTTTCTGAGTCACTTTGAAAACAATGTCTTGTATAGACAATTGTAAATAAACTGCAACGAGGCGTAGTCCGCACAGTGGGGACAAAATGTAATATATTTCAAACAAACAACGAGAACAAATGTTTTCTCAGTGTCTCATTACATGTATAATTTCATTTGTTTATGTTTGTATTTCGAAAGAATTCACTATTAGTGCGTTTCGATGATAAGCATCTGCGTTAAAAGAAAATGAAATTTGATTGTTTTTGTTTCCTCAAAAGAGAAGGAACAACAAATTTAATTAATTAAGCTACAATGGAGTAAAACGGCTCGAAAAAGGGGCATGTTAAGCGTCGTCTGTTTTAAGTGAGTTTTTCCATAAAAAAATTTTGATAACGTCATCGCCAAAGATAATAATACTTAACATAATGCAAGAGAGAAAAAAAAAGAAACGGCCAAGTTTAGCATCAAACGGACGACCCGCAAAACTATTCTACATTTTACCACTAACATTTACATCCAATGTTAGTGGTAAAATTTTAAAATATTCTCATCAAATATATTTTTTTTGCGAACATCTGGCTGTTCAGAGAAAAAACACATGCGGATTTGTGTACCGTAAATACATTAGAGGAGCCTTTCTGCTGCATTTAAATACAGGAGTATATTACTGTATAACCTCGAAATCATTTTAATTTAGAATCCCTTGAGATGGCGTCATCAAAATGTTGGTGGAGATGATTAGCCAAATTTTGGTTAGCGTTTTACTATTTATATAACATTAGTAATACTATACATACAAAATATGACAACAAAATAAATCGGTCAGGTATTTTCGGATTATCTGCCTAATAAAACGGAAACGGGAGACTATTTTTTTCGTACTCTATGAAACTGGCAAGTCGCAAGTCAATTACTATATTTCCTTAGCTTATGCTCGAGAAGTAAAAATAAAACAACAAACTGTAAAAAACTATCTCAAATATAATAAGCGTTCCGAGGTAAAATTGAGTATCTGACAATTCGAGTCTAGTAAAACATTTATTTTCTCCAGGGAATTATGTTAATGTAAAATTAGTTAAATTAAGCTTTAAATTACATCCATACATAAACCAGCCGCTATGCCGGAATAATTGTTAATAGACCTTCGTCAGTAGTCGTAAAACTGCGTAATGTGTAACATTTTCAGACAGCTGTTTACTTTCAGAATAAGTCTCTAAAATCAAGCTTAACTGTTCTCCAAATGCATTATCTAACCGTAAGGTTGCGAATGATGCTCATTACCATCAAAAGAATGTAAAATTTGAATATTCTGCATAACGTCCTTCGCAAGTTTCCATATTTCACTAAAAGATTTCATTCATTAGCAGCAATCATACGGACGGCTGATTTGACGGAAAAGCAAAATACAAGGAGCGGCGTCCGTTCGAGCTAAAATTTTCTTTTTTTTGTGTGTAAGAAGTAAAGTAGAAATATAAAGAGTACGTGATTCGGAAGGAGCGAAGACGACCGAATTCAATTAAGTAAATTCCTTGTATATAATGAATGAACACGCAATGTACCTTTAGGTAAGGTCGATGAGAAACGACAGTATAAATCAAGAGGAGAGAGAGGTAGATTTTCAAAGTGACTTACGTAAACGACTATAGGCTCGCGTATCGGACCTGGTATTCGAATCTTCTCCAACTGGTTGTCCCTTTCGTAGAGGGCTTGAGCCCCTGCCACAGTATATTCTCCCGGTAACGTGATGTGCCTGCAAAACAAACAATACCGTGAATTAAATGACAATATCGTTAGAGTGAATGCGTGAAATGTCACCTGCGGGTTTTTGATTTTAAATATCTGTGTTTTTAGAGAGAAGGATCAGGAGCTCAATGGATAGTCTTTGTTCATAACTGTATTACAGAATACTTCATCACTTACAGTTAACCATTTTTTTTTGTTTATTATGATTGCAAAATCTGAAGATTATCGTCAAAGATTTCGTTACAAATAGTGTGAATTTTCTAATACAGAGATTTTCGGGAAAACGATATACAGGGTTGCTAAAAAGTATGGATACAGCTAAATAATTTCCGAACGCTTTACCAGAAGTCATTGAAATTTGCTACACAAGTAAAAGTATTTGAACTTTATCTTCTAAAATATTGTTCAAATTTCTATCAACATCTGTTTTGGAGATACAAGGTCAACTTGATTTTTTTAAAAAACAGGAGGGATCAAATTTAATATATTTTTTAAAAAAGCATTTTTTGCGTTCGGTAATGTAACACATTAATTGTATCTAAAGGTAAAAAAAAATATTAAAATAATACAATTTTGAAAAATATATATTTCTTTGTTTTATTTCAGTTAAATGTCTTATTTTTACATTTATTATTAACTTTTATTTAATTTATCAACTCACAAGTGGTAACGAAATAATGATAGACGAAATGTTTTTTTCAGAAATATTAAATTTGATTTGTGGCACAAAAAAAGATCAATTTGGCCTGGTATCTCCAAAATAAATGTTGATGGAAATTTCAATTGTACAAAATTTTCAATGAGTTCTTATAAACCGCTCTGGAAATATTTAGCTTAGTATCCATTCTTTTTAGCAACCCTGTGTTGTGTTGTGCATAAACTACAACAGTGTATATATAGGATGCACAAAAGTTCTGAACGATAAATTATCTTCGTTATTTGAAAAACGATGATTTTGATGTTTTAGTTGCATATATGGGGTGCATCCAGATAATAGTACCCGTTCTGCTTTAATACGAAAATAAATTATCCCATTAACAACAACAAACTATTTATTTTTATACACTACAAAATCATTTTTCCATATATACAGGGTGCTGACAAAATCGCGTAGCAAATCACTAGAGGTTTGTTTGAAATAATTTATAAGCAAAGAAAAAAAATATTAAAAAAAATCCCTAGAATCCACATTCTCTAGGAAGGGGACCCCGAAGTTCAAAATTTTATTTTCTTAATTAGTAATTAAACAGTTGCATTTATTATTTCTCTTAAAATATTAAAATTCTGTAGCAGTTCCATGTAAACATTTTCATAAGAAACACTATTATAATGTAAAGAATTTTCGAAATGTTTAAAAAATATGTGAAAATACAACTGACAACATCGTAATATTCCCATTATGGTTGGTACGGCACAACAAAATAGTCGCCTTTTTAAGCTTTGTTGCAACCGTCAAAATCTAATATTTAACGTCTTTGCCAAAATAAATCAAGATGTTTTTAAACAACGAATACGTAGATATGCTCTTCATACTTAGAGAATACAGAAATAGTGTTGCTGCTGCAGCTAGAACCTACGCTGATCGGTACCCTGGAAGACAGCCTCCTAGCAAAAATGTGCTCAGACATTTAGAACAACGAGCAAGAGCAACAGGACGCATTTTGTCTCTTGGAATTCACCGTGGCGTCCAAGATCAATACGAACACCAGAAGTAGAAGAGGCAATTCTAAATCTGGTGGAAGAAAATCCAAGACGGAGTACAAGAAACATTGCACAGCAGTTACACCTGGATAGAAGACTCTAGTGTGGCGTGTTATCCATCGGGAAAGGTATCATCCCTTCCATTACATAAGAGTGGAATCGCTGCTTCCCAAAGACTACGTAAGACGCGCAAACTACTGTAACTTGCGTAGGAGGACGCTGATCAAAATTTTACGTTTCGTGTGCTTTGGACGGGCGAAGTGAATCAAGCGAGATAATCAAGACTATTACAATCCTTATGTGATACGAGAAAGAAATCACCAACATTTGTTTAGTCTAAATTTGTGTGCAGGAATTCTTGGAAATCATTTGTTCTAGGTCCTATTATCATCCCTGATAAATTAAATGGACAATGAATGAATTTTCACTTAATAATTATCAAGATTTTTTGCTTAGACGCAAGGGGACGTAATTTTGAGCAGTTTCTTTGATTTTATTTGTTATAGTTAACCTCGTTTTTTGTTTTGTCAGTTTGCATGGTTCCATATTTTTTATTTTCATGACCATTTAAGATGAAAAATGATCATGTTCTAGAGATTACAATGTTAGAATGTTACCAATTTAGCTGTGATAAAAAGTATTTATATCTTACAAAATTAAACTGCTAGATTTGTTTTAGCTTCTTTTTTGGATTGTATGCAATTACTAGAAAGTTTGGCATATTGATGGTCTGCCATTTTTTTAACACGCTGTTTAGTCTTCACAGCTAAACATTTTTCATAACGTAAGTTTTCGTATACGTCCTATATAAAACTCTACCACCTGTTAACGTAGTGATTTATTCATAGTCAATATTACCCCATTACGTAAGTCATTTTTGTGATCTTTAAACAAGCGAAAATCACTGAGTGCCAACTCAGCACTGCATGTTGGATGATTTCGCACACTTTTTTTTTAAACTTGTAGAGGAATTTGGCGCACCTCTGTAATGTGATTTTTTCAGATTGTCTGGTTTACTTTTTACTAATTTTACATTTCAAATGACCCCACAAAAAAATCGAGGGACAATAACTTTAGGGAACGAGCGAGCCATTCAATAATGCCTCTTAGGCCAACCCATCTTGCTAGAAATACTTTATCTAAATAATTGTAGACATCTAACGCTAAATGCGGCAAAGATATTTTTGCACTCATGACCTTTTTTGATGGCTTTCGGGCATTCACCAGGGTGCGGGAGTTCGAGCTTCCCGCACACGTGCATTTTAACTTTACGTTGCCATAGTAACCTTAAAATAGTCAATAAAAGAAGATAACCACAATTAATGAAAAGGTAATGTTAGCCTTTTTCGAAAGTATCAAAAGAGTCAAACCAAAGAACCTCCGGGAAGTTATTTCATATCAATTAAACGAGTTATGAAATGAAGTAACAGTCATGAAAAAATTGACTTTTGACAACTGTCAACAATTTTGAAATAACCTAACTTTCATAACGAAATTGGATAAAATTGTTTTATTCTAAAGACATAAAGGTATACGAAAAATAAAAAAAAAACTTTTCAAATAACGAAGATAACTAAACTTCTTGAAAAGTGTCATTTGTTTTCGTTATTATTATAAGGACCCACCACTGACCCGAAAATGACCGACATTCAGGTAAGACTTTATCATTAAGGGTACTAAGACTTATAAGTAATGATACGCATTGATTAGAATAATAAAAAACTTTTGAGATCCTAGAATTACAGCATACAAATCAGCCCCGTAGCTAGAAAACTTATTCAGGGGGGGGCAAGTTTGTCGACAGAGGGGGCTTCATGTAAATATGAATATATATTTAAATAATACACTCAGATAACCACCTTATTTTTTCTCAGTTTTTACATTTGAAAGAGCATTAAAATAATTGTAAACATCGATCTTTCACGCTATTAAATTTTCGTAAAAACCTGTCGAAGTCCAAAGATTTGATACGGTACTTTTAAAAAGCCAGAAAAACCAAGTTTGCCAATTCTTGATGCATCATTGAAGGCGTTAAAACAGAGAATGTAAATTCACAAACAGCTATACTGCATCCAAAAATTGGTACAGTGGCCAATCACTAGATAACAACCAATTTGTTTGAGTTAATTTTTTTGCATGTTTAGTAGTAGGCTATGGAATAAAATGTGACATGACAGTTCATTTTTTTATACGGTCAACATCAACGTTAGGATGATATTGCCAAATAACATACCCTGTAAGAAAATAAAGGGTGTGCGGGTGGGGCTAGTAAATATGCTTCGCAATCGGCTTTATATTGAAATTTTATTACTAATTTGCAATTTATAATGTGTAAGTCTTCCAGGGGGGGCAACCACAACTGCTAGGGGGGGCTCAGCCCCATCTGCCCCCCCCCGTAGCTACGGGGCTGATACAAATTCGTCTGCTATTATTTTCTAATCTTACCCCCTCTCCAAGAGTCTAGCGGAACCATCACTTGAAAAGTCACCTACACTACTCTGACCAACTGATGCTAATCTATTCTGACTGACATGATCAGATTGTTAGAGAAACTTACGAACAATGTGACAGCTTTTTGCATTTGACAATTATTGAATCATTTAAGTGTAAATATTTCTATATTATTATATCATATTTTAATAATAATAGTTCTCTCGTGTTATACTTACGAACAAATATTTTGGTTTTAATGCAGTTGAAATACATTCTTGGCGCGATTATATGCATATTTAAATTAAAATGTTAAACATGTTTCAATTTAGTAATTGCAATTTTCGTGTAGGATTCTGATACTAATGCAAAATGTGAACAGTTTTCATTGGGCGAATAGTTAACATATAACTTATAATTTAATAGCTCTTTATAATAAGTATATACAGGCTGTTATTGAAAGGTACGTACAACAAAACTGACAGTTATTCGCTAAGTTTAAGAAGTCTGAAAAACTTATTTTGTGTTATCAAAATTATGAGGGGAAAATTAACCCTTATCCAACCTTTTTAGACGCTACTGAAGGATAAATAGGTAAAATTAATTTATTTTAGTAAATCCTAGCAACTGTAACAATAAAACTTTTGTCAAGACTAAGTGTTGCCATAGAAACGAGAGATGATCTTTTTATCAGAGGCGTCCAACAAATTTGGACATAAATTGTAATAATTTTTATCTATAAAAGAAGAACACTTTGACCTAAACTTTTTTTTTACTTTTAGCACCCATACTTTGAGATCAATTGCCGATTTTATTTTGTACGTACCTTTCAACAACACGCTGTATATAATAAATAATAGAAATATCAATGACCAATTGTAAAATTGTAGTTTTTGAGTACCTACACGTATTTCCTACTGCACGAAAACAAGAAATGGCACTGTTACACTTGGCACTTAAATACTTAAAACATAGTTCACAGTGTTGCATTTATTGCAGAATTAATTTTATCATGATTTTTGAATGAAACGATCATTTTAAAATTTCGGTTTTAACATATATAAAAATTCTATACATTCTGTGCCACCGCTAGTGCTCATTTGACGAATTTGCGCGTTTTTTAGGATTGTTTGGAAATTCCACACGCAAAGAGACAACATATTGTCAGTATCAGGAAAATCTTCTGGTCGTCAAATTTTGTAATACGTATAAATATTACTACTATTACTAGACTAGCATTACTGTTGAGTTAAGACAAATACATGTATTTTTGGTGTAGTTGTATGTTTAGTTTATATAAAGTTCACGTTCAGCAAAATTTGGCCAATAATGGTTATCAATCGGATGACATTGAGTCCACTATTCAAGGTCACACAAACCTCCATTCCCGATAAACCAATGATAAAACTTCTAGTCCCCTAACTTCGATGGGTTTTCTGTCATATATCTACAGTCACAAAAAATATGACGCAAATTCTCAAAAACAGATAATCAGAAGCATTTTCAAACCACTCCGTAAAGTAGCACAACTTTCGAAGTCATCGTCTATGTAGGTATTTATCGTAATGCCTGGTCATGTGGTCCAGTTAACATAGGTGAAATTAGTCGTTCCATCAAAACTGAAATATCCGAACACCAACAGCGCACTCAATTCAGTTCCTTCTTGTCATAAGCTCTAGTAGAACAAGAGACAGGTCATCAAATTCTATTCAACAACTATAAAATCCTTGCGAAATTTTTACATTAATTCATCTGGCAAACACAAGAGCCAATTGAAAAACATAGATGGTCCGATAAGGTCAACAGAGACAACTCCCGGTTTTCTTTGTTTGTAAAATGTAATACAATTTAACTTAGAACCTGCAAAAGCGAGTGTTCTGAAATTTTGTAAATACTTTAAGGTTATCATAGCATGGTAAATCGTTAATTAATATTTTAGCTGTTCATCCTTCCTAAAAACTTGTTGACGTCATCTCAAAATTTTGCTTGATAAATTTTGTCTAAATTGTGCAAAATATTTCGGCCTATTTGTTGCTTAAGTATTTACATTTATTATTATTAAAATTTTATTACGAAAAACTTACTTGAAACATACGTATAACATGCTTTTTTACCTGTACTGCAACCGTCCACATCTTTTTTTATTTATAGTGGTTATCAAAAAATAAAAAAATCGGAAAATTCTAAGAAACTGGAATTATTTATTATTATGAAGGGTTCCGTTAAGCGGCATCGATTACTGGGTCATTAGAGGACTTGCGTGATATACATACCGTTAAAGCTAGTATAAAGAAGCTATGAACAAAACTATAAGCATGCCATAAACAAGCTTGATTGCACCCAACATGTGCAGTTGAAATACATGTTAGATGCGCTCGTATTTCAAGAACGAGGGCAGTTTTGTCTAAATAATTTTACACTAAATTTTATTATCGGTTGAGGAGAAGAAAAATAGTAAAGCTCCGAAGGTGGCTACCAACAACCAAAATACTAAACAACCACAATTAATTCGATTATTTTCTGTGGAGAAACAAAGCATTACAAAAATTTAGTGCTTACCTACACATGCCATCAATCACCTAGTTAGTTGTTACCCTTTACTGCCATCTTAAAGTTTTTAGTATTGTCTTTAAAATTTCATAAGGTATAAGAAATGTAATTTTGGTAAGGTAAAAACATTTCACAAATTTGCCATAAATTTTCTGTTTTTTTAAACTTTTACTTAAAATTAGATGTCATTTGTTTTATATTCTATTTATTATAATGTAATTATTGCTGCATTTGATTTGTTAATTTTGTTGTTTATATCAGGTATTAGAAAAAGTATGTAACACTACACTGTAAAAACATATAAAAAAGTGTAGGTACACAATAAAAAGCAGCCCATTCAGAGTGTTTGCCTGTCTGGAATTTGGCGGATGCGCCACGTCAAAGAAACAAAGACGCGATCCTCAACTAGGAACTCCCGAGTAATTTAAACCTTGTAGAAATAAATTCGGAGGGAGATAATTGGTTGGGATCTTGATGTATTTCAGGCTGGTATAATTAGCGAAACAATTTTAGAGTAACGTACCGTTTTCCATTGAGATAGAATTTCTTGGCGAGAGCGCTCCCGATGCTGATGTAGTTTTCAGAGTGATCCTTTTCCTCAATACGGATATTGCGTGCACCGGCTGGTATTACCACGACTTCTCGATACCCCGGAGAGTAGCTTTGTTTATTGTACAAGCCCTCGATTTTGTCGCATTTCGTACCGTCACCTTGACAAATGCCGCAATCATCCTCGTGTGCTGTCGAGTCTACTACCCAATCACAACCAACTTTCTACGTATTCAACAATATTTCAATGTAATCCAATTAAGGGAATGTTTACTGTGTAAAGTCCTACCCTGCAAATCCCGGAAATGCACACGTCTCTGGATCCGACGTTGCAAGGGGTACCATCAACTGCATACTCGCCCCAAGGCACGATTACTGTTTCATTAGCATCGCTACAGTATAACTGACAGGGTTCATCTGTAATGATAACAAATAAACTAGAAGAGGCTCATCAATATTCAATTTTACTCCAGATGCTTCAGCGTTACCTAGTAAGGTAGAGACTTTTAATATAATTAAATAAATTGCGTAAAACTCATCAGTATCAGAGAGTCATTTAGGAACAGCTAAAACTTTAGTTGCTTTCTGATGAATAAAACATGGGAAATCGTTTTTTTTTTAAGTCAATTAGCTTTTAATTTCACATTTTAGTGAAAATTGTAAGTGATAATTTATCCTTAACATTATAACCTTAATAGATTTACTGAACAATAAGAAATTCATGATTTAGCCAATAAAGAAATAAAAAATTAAGTTTTTATATGCGTAATTTAACATTTCATCCTGTCTAACGTTGCTGTCCATGTTCTTATGTCACTAATGCCATGGCGTTATAGTATTTACGTAACATTACTAGCATGGTAAAAGGGTTTTTATTGGCGGACAGAAGGATATGACTGGCGAGCCGCAGGCGAGCCAGTCACCTTCTGGAGCCAGTAAAAACGCGTTACCTTGCGTGTATTGTTCAATATTTTATTTGTTTCTCACTTGTAAATAACTATTATAAATTATTAAAAACTCTAGAAGGTCCAATATTTGAAGAAACATCGTATGAGCTTTAGACGTATTGGCTTGGAAACGCACGTCAGCATGGCACTTGTCATAGCATTTACTGTGACCGTATTCGAGATACACCCACATAAATTTTTATGGGACCAATCACTCAAAAATCGGTGCTCCTAAAACCGCAACCATAAATTATGAAAAGGGCTTGACAGCTCATTTTATACAGAGCCGTTATCGGGTTGAGTTGAAAGTTTCACCTGCTTTTGGTAATGTTATAGGGGAAGAGAGCCCAAAGCGGGCACCATAAGGAAAAATATAAAAAAAATTGTTTATGGATAATCTAGATCCTTTAAATTTTTATATTATAATGCTTGGTTTAACACTTTTCAATGATGCATAACTAAAATTGAGGAAAGTTTATTAAAAAAAAGTTAGAAGCAGATAACTAAATCTTTACAACTGCCCGCTTTGCCCTACGGGGAGGCCTAAAGCGTGCATTCAGCTATGGCAAACTAGTGTTCCTGTAGAGAGAGTTCCGCAATTGCTTTACTCACTACCTTGGACTTAAAATGGCGGCTCGGCATCAGCTGGAAGAAAGCTAGTTTTGCTTGTTGTTTTGATTGTTGTTTTTTGGGCAAAAACAGGGCGCGAATGTGTGTATAGTGCGTGTATATATAATATGTATATAATATTATTTACTTGGAAAACATGGGAATAAGTTTATAGATAAAAAAATTCTTACCAATAGTGCCAGTATTACAAGTAGTAAGAGTATTGCGATGCGTATTTTGGCAAACAAAATGCAATAAGACATTTCAGTATTTCTGCGTTTCATTGACCTTTCGTTCGTATACCTAAATTCTTGTTATGTCATTAAGATCCAAATTAAAACAGTATTATAACCTGGATGATGTGAATAAAATTGGGAAATAAAACTTTGTTTCGATTCAAAAATTGCCCTTCGTTTTACTTTTATTCTAAAAATTTATTGTACCACAATTTATTATTATTCATACCTCCCATCAACTTGGTCCGTTTAAAGTTGGCGCGTGGTGTTGGAGTTACAATGGCGGAGGTTTGCGGAACTCTCTCTACAGGGACACTAGGGCAAACCAGGCAATGGTTAAGGCTGGCGTCTGGTTCGGTTTCGCTCTATACTAAATACATTGAAAACATTGCCGGGGTTTCCGGAATTGCATTTTAAAAATACTGAAGTCTGCAACCAAACCAGAAGTTAAGTAAGCTCATTTTAATAGATTTTGACTTTTCGAGAGTTATTTACCTCAATCATGCACTGGTGTTGGTGTGCGAGCGAGTGAACATGTCGTCAAACGCTCTATTATGCTTATATTGTAAAAACAAAGCAGTTAGTGGACCTAAGTGTATAGTTTGTGAAAGGGTATTTCATCCTAAGTGTGTAGATCGTCTCAACTTAATAGTTTTAAATTCTGATCAAGTTATTTGTTGTAAAATGCCAGGAACAAGCAACAGTACAGATAACATCGCTAAAGAAGCCGTTATAACTTTTTTAAAAAGCAGTGAGTTTGGAGAAATAATCAAAGAAATCGTGCATCATGAAGTCAATGCCATCTTAACCGAAATAGGTAGAATCCGAGGAGAATTGGAAGCTGTGAAGGCTGCTAATGTGGACCTTATAAAACTGCTGACCAACCCCAAAATTAGTGGAACAAAGGTGCCAGATACCACTCACGGTAAGGAGCGTGTTACACGAGAACAAAATTCTGCTAATTTTGCGAACAATTTTTCAAATCTCTTCGATCCAAATTCTGGTACAAAACCGCCAAATAAGAGTATGGCTACCAATAAAAAAGATGATAAACCAGCTGATCTAAATAAAAAATTGAACGAAAAATCACTTTCTCTGTCGACTGATGACATTGTTAATGATAACGACAATAATGATTTCATATACCCACGTTATCATCAAAAGCGCAATTTTCAAACTAAAAATAGGAATATCATTAATGGGACTAAATCTGCGAAATCTTCTTCTCTCCGGGCTGTCGAAAAAATGCATCATTATTACATCGGACGCATTGACCCTGCTATGACTGAAAATCAGGTGGGAGAATGCTTAAAAGCTGAGTTGAATCTTCAGAACTTTGCCTGCGAAAAACTTCCGTCCAAAGGTGGGAATTTTAATTCCTTTAAACTCAGTGTTCCTCAGTCTAAAGCTGCTGATATCCTTAATCCGCAAATGTGGCCGGAAGGCATAGTAGTTCGTAGATTTTTTCCATCCGGAGCAAAACATAATTCATCTTCTACAGAACAAAATTTTCGCAACGCAAGAGTAGAGTTAACAACAACATAAGTGAAATCACCGTATATTACCAAAATGTGCGCGGTTTACGAACAAAATTGGCTGAGTGTTTTATATCTTGTTTATGTGAAAATTTTGATGTACTTATATTTGTAGAGACATGGTTGCATCCAGATATCAAAGATATTGAATTTATAGATAACAGATATATTGTGTACAGGACGGACCGCTCTGAAAGCAACAGCACGAAGAGCATTGGAGGCGGGGTATTTATAGCTGTAAAGAAGAATTTTCAGTCAAGTAAAATGAATTTGTTTTCTGAGCTAGAAGATTTGTGGGTAACCTTGCAAATCAATCATAAAATATTAATTTTCTGTGCTGTATACCTACCGCCTGATATTTCGGCAGAATTGTATGAAACTTTTGTCAATAAGGTAAAGTCGGTTTGTTACAACAATTTATATAGTCTAATTTTCATTCTTGGTGATTTTAATCTTGCGGGGGTAAAATGGATTTGTGACGACGAAATTATAGGTCTTATTCCAATCAATGTAAGATCAGAAAAAGAAATTCTTATATGTGATAATTTTGCTTCTTATGATCTTCATCAATTCAATGACGGTGCTAATTGCAGTGGTAATATCTTAGTTCTCTGTTATTCTAACTGTGATAATATTGTTATAAGTAGTACTCAAGAACTTGTAAAAATAGATAAATATCATCCTCCATTTAAGCTGGTAATAACGGGCTGTGAAAATTCTAGTGATAATTTCTGTGATATTTACTACGATTTTAAAAACTGCAATTATGACATAATTAATAATTATCTGTATAACTGTGATTGGCATTTTATTAACGATGACAATAATATTAGTGACATTGTGAGTGTATTTTATTGTTATCTAACTTTTATCTGTGATAATTTTGTACCTATGCGGAAATCAAGGAGCAAAAAGTTTCCGGTGTGGTTTAGTGGTGAGGCTCGTAATCTTGTAAAAAAGAAAAACAGTGCGCATCGTCGATTTAAAATAACTGGCGATATTAGAGATTATGCTGACTTTGTTTCTTTTAGAGCAGAATGCAAGAGAATTATTTCTGAATGTTATAATATGTACATCAACAAAACGGAATCCGAGATTAATTCTAATCCCAAACACTTTTGGAATTTTGTTAAAAATATGAAAAACAGTTGTGAACTTCCGAACACCATGAAGTATAATGATAGTCATATTCTTGGGTATGAAAACATAGCAAACGCTTTTGCCAATTACTTTTCTTCTGTTTATACGAAAAGTAGTGTCAGTAGTTACCATAATTATCCCTATGAAATTAAATCACTTGTTGATATCAAGACTGTACATATTACAGAAGATATTGTATTTAATGAATTGAAGTCTCTCGATCTTAGTAAAGGTGCGGGCCCGGATGGACTTCCGCCTATATTTTTTTATAATTGTAGAGATTCTCTGACGATACCACTTGCCAATATTTTTTCGATCTCGGTTCGCTCTGGTAAATTTCCTGATTTATGGAAGTCGGCGCGTGTTGTACCAGTCTTTAAATCTGGAGATAAACATCATATTGAAAATTATCGCCCTATCAGTATATTGTCCGTTCCATCAAAACTTTTTGAAAATATTGTGTACAAATCTGTATTTGAGTCGTTTAAGAATGTAATTAGCTTATATCAGCATGGTTTTTGTTCAGGCAGGTCAACGTTAACCAATCTTTTGACTTTTGTTGACGAGATTCTTGATGCTTTTGAAGTCGGTGGGGAGGTTCATTGCATTTACACCGATTTCAGCAAGGCTTTTGATACTGTTAATCATAGATTACTCATGTATAAACTCTATCTTTATGGTGTAAGAGATCCATTGCTTTCATGGTTCAATTCTTACATTAGTGGCCGATTACACTTTGTTGAAGTAATGAAATTTAGGTCATTTACGTACGAATTAACATCTGGCGTTCCGCAGGGGTCAATAATTGGACCTTTATTATTTAATATCTTTATAAACGATATTTGCTCAAATGTTAACTCTAGATCTCTATTATATGCAGATGATCTGAAGTTGTATAAGAGAATTGAAACAGCACAGGATGTGAGTGTTTTGAGAGACGATCTCTTGCG